GGCTTGTGTCCTTCTAGATCTATGAGTCTGTCAAAAATTCTTTGGCTTTTTGATTTCTCAGTAATTTTTATGGATTTGGAAAACATTGTGTGGGGAAATTGACCCCAAATGTTGAACCTCTCTCATTTCTTTCTATCCCTAGATCTTATCCCTGAAATTCCTCACTACCTTGTGTGTGTGTGTGGGGGGGGGAGGTGTTCTCCGGAGGAGGGTTAGCCTAAACTATCCAATCTGCCATTACTAAAATTGAAAACAATGCCTCATTAAAAAAAAAAAAAAATGGTGTTTGAAAGTCACAATCATATTTTAAAAGAGAATAATGCATAACAAATCACTCTATACCTCTCATTCAGCTCCAACAATTATCAACACATGGAAAATCTCATTTAGCTGTATCCACACCTCATTATTACTCCCACTTCTGGATTTTTTTGAAGCAAACTATGGACTTCAATTATTTAATGCATAAATACTTCATTCTATTTTTCTGAAAGGACTTATTTGAATAGAAATGAAATATTATTACACCTGAAAAATAGTAACAATTTTTTATTGTCATCATATATTTAGGCAGTGTCCTGATTTCCCTTCATGTCTCATAAGTAATTTTTTATGGTTGTTTCCTTTGAATCAAAAGCCAAACTAGGCATATGTGTTGTAGTTGGTTACTAATTTCCCTTCATGTCTCATAAGTAATTTTTTATGGTTGTTTCCTTTGAATCAAAAGCCAAACTAGGCATATGGGTTGTAGTTGGTTACTAAGTCTCCCTTATAGCTCTTAAGTCATTTAACATTTAATCTGTGATCTGTGGTTTCCTGCACATTGTCAACGCCCCTCACCACTCCCACTTTATATTACTTATTTATCTGCAGTTTGTTTAATGACAAGACTGAGGCATTTGTCCAGTAAACTACTCCACATTCTTCAGTTTTATGATTGCATTACTTTGGCATTTAGCATGTTCTCTTACTTCTTTGTTTTGTATATATTGGTAATTAAATCTAGACAATTGATCAGAATCAGATTTGATTGTTAGAAAGACTACCTTTTTAAGGAGTACATAATGTCTGGTTGTCTCACGTTTTTATGTTAATATGGATTCTTGTGTTTTCAGCGTGCTCCATCTATTACAGCACCCCCCAACAGCTCTTCCCCTAATGGTTTTAGCTACCATTGATGGTCATTGCTGAGGTCCAATTTTTTTGAAGGATTCATATTGGTCATATTCTAATTCTTTTCTTCTCTTTTTCACTTACCTTTTGATTCTTGATTTTGTATTCATCAACTGTGGTTCATTCTTATTAATGTTATGATTTTCTCTGTGGATGATTTTCATAGACAATCCTATCATACGTGAATAGTGATAGTTTTGGTTCTTCCTTTCCACTCTTCACACCATTAATTTCTTTTTCTTGCTTAATTATACTGGTTAGTGTAGAGAGTAAGGTCATCATGGGTGATAGAAAAGTTGGTGATGGATAAGCAGAGACCAACTTGTGTAAAGGCTTATAAATTCGGGCAATCATGTAGAATTATTTTCTGAGTGCAGTAGAAAGCCATTGGAGGATTGAGGTCAAAGGAGTGAAACAATCTAATTGAACTGTTAAATGATAACTGGCAGATCTGTGGGAAATTGGCTGGGA